ATGTATATATGTGCACATGTGGGCATAGGAATATGAGGTTTGCAATGGAATCCTCGCAGCATTAACGGAATAACGCTTCACTAGATCCTTCAAGTCAGGCCTCGCGAGAGGAGACATGCGGTCCCACTGAGGTGCGGGTCACACGGGCCTTTCTTGCCCTCAGTCACGTCAGTTGTGGTGACAATCAAAGTTAGTGGGCAGGCCCAGTGAGGATTAAATGGTATTAGAGGGTTCACCCGAAACTGAGTTAAGGCATCCCGACTCGTGCCTAGCGTAAACTAGAGGACACATGATTACACATGAAGGTTCATGTGGGATATATATGTAGGCATATATGCGTAGGTATGAAATGAACTAAGGCCAAAACCCATCTGTCCAAACACCATAACGTCTCGAAGACAAACGGACACATGCGCAAAGTAACCTTGAATTTCATCTGCATTTTCCGCACCACTTTTAACTTTTACTTTGGAAGCATTCAAACATTCCCAGTGGCCACTTAATCCCTGCTTGTACACAGTCCCCCCATCGCTAGGACAGTGATTCGTAGATATTTGTGCTCCATCGTCTGCGGCTTTAGGCTGAACAGTTGCCCAGTAGGACTATGATCCTTCCATATGATCTTCTATTAGTCCCCCCTCCTAACTGTCCGTTCAACTCACCTCGACAACCTCCTTCAGCTCCTCCCACAACCCTTTTAGACACTTTCCAGGCCGCACATCAGCCTTATGTACAATTCCAGAGGCTCAGGGCCTACTACAAACAAAGACATACACATGCACATCTTGTAGCCATATCCAAGCCTCGTACAAGTCTGGCCTCTGTTACTGAGACAATTTTTCAGGCCCTTTTAAACATGTTGATTCATGAGACTAGAGTGGTTTGTTCCCTTTCAAGGAAAGAGTTTTGGCTTCTGTCTGCTTGGCCCAACAACCTTCATTCCCGTTCGAACATACCTCGTGTTTGACGATGTTAGAGCTTAGATAAATTGACATGATAACCCTCACCAAGTTCACATGCTTATCCTCCCCCTTCTGCTTTGAAGACTCCACACTAAGCATGGCTTAGATAGACTGACTCCTGAGTTCGTAGTCCGAGTACATGGCAAGTCAACTAAATGGCTCCGTTCAGAATGGATAGCTAGATTTGTAGGTGAATAAGTATCTAGAAAAATTATATAATAGTAAACCTATATGGCTGTATTTAGAAAGTTAGTTTAAAAAAAATAGTGAGAAAAACACATATATATATATATATATGCACAGATAGACGGGTTGATAGCTGAAAGGATAGAGTTAGTTAAGTAGGTCAGCAGACAGATGGATGAATGGTGCATTGGATGTAAGGTATGTGGATTACTTTGTGGATGGATGGATGAAGATGAATGAAGATGGGATTGAAGGAGCACAAGTGACTGACCCTAAAGACGGGAATTCGTTCGAGTTTAAGACTATATCATTCCACTCTTGTCATCCTCGGCCCGTGACGCAGTGTTCATTGGAGTAGCATGTGAGTCCTCATCGCCTCGCCCACTGCATTGATGCCTGTCTGTGGGTGTATTCGCATTTTGGCATGTAAGCATGCGGAGTATAAGACACCTCAAGTATTGCCTATTGTCAGCTTGCCTGAAACAAAGTGGCATTCCCGAGCGCTATCATTGATGCTGTTTGACATAAGGTGACCTAACTTTGGCACCAAGAGCAGCCTGAAGAGAGCATAGAGAAGCTTAACTCAGAGGAAGTGCGAGAGAGCACATGAGAAAAGGAGCACTAGAAAACCGAGGATGGAGAAGCAGAGCGATTGTGCAGTCGATTAGGGATACTTTGACGAAAAGAGGGCAGGGTATAAAGTAAGTGATTTCCTACCACGTGGGCACAAATGCTTGCACGGCTTAAGAAAGGCAACCTATGTCTTCGCAACGTCAAAGATTTTGTGAAGACTGCTTTAGCTACATCGTAGCACATATTTCTATATTATTAGGAGTAGTAAAAGTAGCATTCGCCTTATTGGTTATTAATGCGTTAAATTAATGTGGGTCAGCTATTTTGAGCATCCGAAGCATGGATGAAAATTCAACATCATTACTTCTCATGAAGAGTACACGCTCTCACTT